ATGCGTCACACCTTCAGATGCCGTGGCCTGGTGAAAATATGTTTTGCTGGCTCTGCCCTTGTCACAAGGGCGACGGTGAGAATGCATTCAACAACTTCGCGGAAGACTTGCTCCAACCTCCCATCCGCGTTGTTTCCCAGGTGGTTGGGGGTGAGGGGGGATTGGTAATTTGAGGGGGCAGGGGCGGGTTGGTGGCGGGGTTGTTAGGTCTGCGGCCCCTTCCCTGGAGGAGACCCCGAACCATTGGAAATTCAGGGAGCGCGACTACGTTGTCACTCACCCGTTGTATGAGGTCTGGGGCGTCACCACACGGTCTTTATCATTAGATGTGATGCACTGCATGGATTTAGGCATCACCGCCCAGTCGGTAGCCAACCTGCTATACGAAATTGTTTGTGAGCAGGAGCACGGCAACAGGAACGACCGAGTATCGCGAGTTTGGGATAGAATACAGCACATATATAGGAATGAAGGTTTGGACCATCGTATTTCTACCCTGAAATTTAGTATGTTTGTCGCTGACAAAGACGCGCCCCACGCATATTATCCTACGTTGTCCAAGGCTGTGAAAGCAGCCGAGACCAGGGCGCTCGCCACCGTTTGCTACCAGCTAGCTCAAGACTACGATACGGGGTCCAACATTATGAAGACGCGGACGTTGCTTTTCAAAAGCTTGTGTCAGGTGTACCATATTATAGATGTTGGGGATATGTTCTTGACCGACACCCAGTGCACCACGCTACAGCGGTCGGGTGACAACTATCTCACGTGCTACTCGGCGTTGGCGCGGCATGCGCTGGAACAGGGGAAGAAGAAATGGTCCATGGTGAACAAACACCATTTTTTATATCATCTCCTGAGGCAGACCCCCCTCAACCCTAAATACGTGTGGTGCTACCAGGCGGAGGACTACCAGAGGTTCGTGACTAGGGTTGCTAGCGCATGCGCTGTAGGGACGTCGGTCGTGTCGGTGAGCTGCAAGTTGGCAGAGCGTATGCGTGCTGGTCGGCATATGTATGACTACGTCTACCCGTGTGAGCCTATGTTTTGGAAGCGTCTATGCTGGCAAAAAAAAGAAGAGGGGGGAGGAGGAGGAGGAGGAGGAGGAGGAGGAGGAGGAGGAGGAGGAGGAGGAGGAGGAGGGGGGAAGAAGGGGGAGGAGGGCGGGGATGGTGAGAGCAAGGGGGCTAGGGAATGATTAGGGCGAGGGGAAGAGTGGGAGATGGAGAGAAGCGTCGTTGTCGCCGATCGTCGCCCTCCCCCCCTGCCTCCTCTCCCTCTCCCTGCCCCTCTCCTCCCTCTGCCTCCCTCCTCCTCCTCTTCCTTCTCGGCAATCTCATCCCCTCCCTGTTCCCACCCATATCCCCTAGCCATTCTGCTCCTCCCCCCGTCACCTTCCATCCTCCTCCCAAGCCGAGCCCTCCTGCCTCGGAGAAGGCGCGCCATTCCACCCCTTGGGGCTGGGGATAGGGATGCCGTGTGGGGCCCTTGTCTCCATCCCGTTGGGGTCGGCGTGGGATGCCGTCGACGAGGCCCTGGTCCCCCCTGGCGGGGGTGGCGGATCTGGAGTTCACTAGGGGCAGCTTGGAGTAGGCGCGCCCATGCCGATCGCAAGCGCGCCCCCCCACCAACGCCCCACCCACCCAAAGTCGCGAGGTCCGTGGTCCTCCCTCCTCTCCTCCTCCTCCTCCTCCCTCCTCCTCCTCCTCCTTCCTCCTCCTCCTCCTCACCTCTCCCTCCTCCTTCGCCCCCGTCCCCCTCTCTCTATCTCTCTCTCTCTCTCTCTCTCTCTCTCTCTCTCTCTCTCTCTCTCTCTCTCTCTCTCTCTCTCTCTCTCTCTCTCTCTCTCTCTCTCTCTTCTCAATTCATTTCTCCTCCTGCCTCCTCCCCCCTCCTACCATCTGCCCCTACAACCCTCTTCTCTTTCCCTTCCGCCCTCCCTGCCTCAAGATCGTCCAGTGGGTGGCTGTGAGGGGGGCGGTGCCTGCTTGCATATTGGTTTTGCCGTGGCGTGCGCTCGAGGCTGCGCATATTAGCCTCCCCCGCGTCTGCGCAGAGGCAGGCCTCGCCGAGGCCCAAGGAAGGGGGCATGATCACGAGCAGGAGGGGCATGACCAACCCATGATTAAGAACAATATCAGGACAGCGAGGAGGATGGGGAGGAATGAAGGAGGAAGGGGAGGAGGAGGGAGGGAGGGGGAGGATGATGATGATGAGGAGGAGGAAGAAGGGGTATATAATGTTTCAAGGTTTCATTGGTTTTCCCCGATCTATGGGATTCCTCGCGCTCCCTTGGCGAGCTAAACCTCAGCGTCAACCTAAATACCTTAAACATAGGATTCTGCACGCTCGCTTGGTGTGCTAAAACTCAGTTTCACCCTAAGTTCCCAAACGCGCACATTGCGCACGCCATTATTGACGGAAAATGGTCCTCCTTCATTTTTTGGTGAAACCAAGAGGAACCTTGAAACACTATGGAATGCTCGAAACCGCCCTGCACTTCTCTCTCACTCCTTGGCCAGCCGTGCGCCTCGACGGTTCGAGCGTCTGTGGTGGTGCTCGCTGAAATAGCGCCCCCCCCCTTGATCAGTGAGTCAGTCAATCAGTCAGTATATTATTTTCTCTCTTACCAACCCCTCCTTGCGTTGCAGCGCTGGACGCGGCTCGGAAACTGGCTGCGATGCAGTCCTCGGCCCTTCATGGGGCCCTGGCGCGTCGGCTCGGGCCACCCCACCCCCTTAAGTTTTGCTCGCTGCCCCTTCTGACGGGCCGTCGCCACGCTGGACACTGCTCGAAATTCTGGGAGGCGGTTGTTTGAGGCCCATATGGGGCCCTAGCACATCGCGACGGCGTGGTTTGCTATCTTCTGACGTAGGCTTCGCAGTTCGCAGTTCGCAGTTCGGAGTCGTTGTTCGCAGTTCGCAGTTCGGAGTCGCAGTTCGCTGTTCGCAGTTCGCAGTTCGACTGTTCCCCAGAGGTAGTATGGCGTCACGCCTTCCTCCTCATCCTCCTCCTCCTCCTCCGCATCCTCCTCCTCAGTCTCCACCTCCTCCCCCTCCTCCTCCTCCTCCCCCTCCTCCCCCTCCTCCTCCACCTCCCCCCTCCTCCTCCTCCTCCTCCTCCTCCTCCTCCTCCTCCTCGACGTCCTCCTCTTGGCCGTCGCCAGGCTGGACGTTGCTCAAAATTCTGGGCGACGTGGGCCTGGGGCCCCCAGGAGGGCCCTAACGCGTCGCAGCGCCGTACGTCCGAGGTAAGATCGCCAGCATCGTCAGAAGATGAAGGGGGAGGAGGCAGGAGGGGGAGGAGAAGTAAGATGATGATGATGATGAGGAGGAGGAGGGGAGTAGGATGGAAATAAGACCTGCAGGAACATAAATGAGAGAGTGATGGTTAAGATGTTGGTGATGTTGGTGATATTGGTGGCGATAGCGATGGGGATGATGATCACGGTGTGGTTGCTGATGATGGTGGTGTGATGAGGATGATGATGCTATAGATGATGGGAATGATGTTGGTGATAATGACGGTGTGGTGATGATGCAGATGAAAATGATTATGGTGATGATGGCGATGATGATGATGATGGTGATGATGATGATACTGATCATGATGATGGTGATGATGGTGATGATGATGGTGACGATGATGGTGATGATGGTGATCATGATGGTGACGATGATGGTCATAATGGTGATGAAGGTGATGGTGATGGTTATGATGTTGATGATGATGATGATGGTGATGATGATGATGATGATGATGATGATGATGATGATGGTGGTGGTGGTAATGATTATGTGATTTTTGCTGCAAAAATTGCACAACAGCGATCGGCCACGACCGACAACAAAAATGGGTAACGGTCGGTAACGGCCTCATACATTTTTCATTGAAATCGTTGAACATCCGCTACCGACCGCTACCGATCGCTACCGAAATTGACTGTTTGTCGGTAGCGAGCCGCGACCGATCGCTACCCAAAAATTTGGGTAGTCGGTCGCGACTGGTCGTTCTCGATCGCTACCCAAATTTTTGGGTAACGCATGATCTGGGCACGGCCGCGCCCGCGCCGCGACCCGCACCGGAGCAGCGCGGGGCGAGCGTGAAGTCGGGCACGTCCCTCTACAGGAGGCATACTCAAAAAGAGCAACGAAAATAGTACAGGGACGATTTGCCGATTATTTTTTGACCATTTTGGAGCACTTTTGGACTACGTTTCATTTTTCGTCGAAAATCCGCCTGTAGGGGGGGGGGGACATGCCCGACCTAAGGCGAGCGTGCCCGAGCCACCCGGCCGCGCGGCCTGAGACGAGGCCAGGACGAAGATGAAACCGGGTGAGGATAAGTCGAGAATCTCTGAGATCTGGCGGCTTGGAAAGACGTCGCGGGCGCCGCGGCCTTCTCAAAGCGTTCCGGAACGCTCTGAGAGCGTTCCGGAACGCTCTGGAACGGGTTCATCCTCGTCCTAGCCCCGCCCGACAACTTCCCGTGAAGAACGGCTCTCCACCCGGAGATCCGACATCGCGAAGGAACAATGGCGACGTCGCGTAAACTCACGACTTGAGCCCCAAACCCCATTTGTCGGCGGCATTTTTCGAGCCAGATCGGCCCGTGATGGTCCCAGGGCCCGAAGCCGGGCGAACATACCCGTCGTGAGCAACTTGCGACGCCCCGACCTCAGGGCATCTCTCCCGAGCCAATCTCTCTTAAGCCTACACTCCTGAGGGGCAATAGTAGGGGGGGACTGGCATAGGGGGGATGCATCGACCTGGGATCGGCGATAGATCGGCGATAGGCCTCCGATCATAAATCCGCACCTTCCTGGGCAGGTTGGGGCTATCGGGCCCCTGTCGGCGATCAATGAGCGACTTGGGGTCGATGCGTCACCCCCTGATTATGCCTATCGCCCCCTGTCGTTGCCCCCGAACTCCAGCCCCCGGGCGGCCTTGCAGCGCCCGATCGGCCCTGAGACGCGGCCGGGCCCCGCGGGGGCCCCGCACCGAGGCGCGGGCTGCCCACGCGCTGCAGCCACACCTCCCGAGGGCGACCTCTCGACGTCGGGGGTGTGCGCCTCCAGAGGCCTCCTGGATGGGGTCCGAGCAGGTCGGGTCGGAGGATCGCGCCGCATCGGCAATGCATCGTGATGCGTCGTCGTCGGCGCCGGCGTGGAGGACATGGGGCTTCACATCGAGCTGCATCGGTGATGCGGCGCGATCCGCCGACCCCGTCTGCTCGGACCTCATCTGGGAGGCCCAGGGCCTCGGGCTTCAGTTCTTCTTCAGCTCGTTCATCGAGACCTCGCGGTGCGAAAGGGCCCCAGCCATGCTCGCGCCGTGACAAAGCCACGGCGCACGAGGACTCTGGTCGTCCTCTTCCTCCGGGGGGCCCTCGTTGGACCCTGGGGCCGTCAGCAATAGTCTCTCGGGGTGACAAACCGGCCCTGGGGAAAGGCTAGGGATTCCTGGGACCCCGCACGGAAAATCATCAAGACTTCGCTCGTCTGGGGCGCCTTCCGTGGGCGCCCTGCAGGTCCCCACCGCACGCATTCCCTGGCCCCCTCTGGCGCAGCCGTCCCTCCCCTCTGCCCCCCCCACCCCGCCAAAGGGGGGGGGAATCACCAGGCCACCCCCCGCGCCTCCGTGGAACGACGGAAGGGGGCTGGACCTTGGGCGCGAGTTACTGGGGGGCGATGACTGAGGGGAGGGAGAGGCGCGCCTCTTTCGCGCCTTAGAGGCCCCCTTCTGGGCCAGTAACTGGCCCCTACAGGGGCCCTCACGGGCATCTTTTCGGCAGCTCTCGCTGCCCCCCTTTTAACGCCCCACCATTACGCGTCCTCCGAAGACCCCCTCACCCTTTGCGCGCTGGCAAGCGACGACGAACACGACGAAGACGACGATGCTGACGACGACGAACCTTGCCCCGTCAACGAGCGAGGCTTCCATGGAATGCTCCCCCACCCGCCTGTTTTTTCATGTCATACCGGTTGTCATCGTTGTTGCTTTCTTCGGTTCGTCCCAATTTGTTCTCCCTCAGCCTTGCCACGCCGACTGGCGAATTTTCCATTTAGTGCCCAGCCCGCGCGCCAGCTTGAATGTCCCGCCTGTCGTCGCAATGTTGATTTCATTTCTGGTTGTTGTGCTTTCTTTACTAACCTCGCCCTGTCAACGAGCGAAACGTACATCTAATGACCTGCCGCCCGCTTCAATGTTCCGCCTGCAGCCGAACCCTTCAAGGACGCAGGGCAACGATTCAATATTCTTGGGCGTCCATGCAAAATCTTCGGTTTTCCAAGATATGCCCCAGGATGGGCCGAAAACGAAGAGTCAGACACCTTAGGGGGCAGTTGCAACAACGCCCCATCCTGAGAGCCTTAGGATGGCTTCCAACCGCAGGAGGTTCCGACTCGCACCCGCTTGGGCGTGCCATCCGAGATGTGCAAGCCAGGAGGCCCGATGTACGGCCGCGGGGCACACTCGCAAAAACGGGGGCAACCCCCAACACACAGTGGAGCGTGGATGGGGAGGGGCGGGAGGTGGCGGGAGTGGGGATGGTGGAAACGATAGCATGGGGAAGTGCGCGCGCGTGTGTGTGTGTGTGTGTGTGTGTATTTGTGTGCTGGGCCCTTCCCAGCTACCCCCTGGCCCCTGCCCTGAGGTGGTCTTCTCCGGCTGTTCTGTCGCTTGGAAGGTCGGCTCGATCTCGGCGCGCGGCCGCCTTGCTGTGCTGCCCGTCCTCAGCACTGCCTGGGCCTGATCCCCCCCCGCCTCGCGCGACCGCCCCTGGCTGCTGCCCGTCCCAGGCTGCCCCGCGGCTGCCGCCCCTGCCGCGGCCTGGCCCCGCTCTGAAAGGGCCCGGCTTCCGTCTCCCTCCCGCTCGCGCCGGGCCTTTCCCGTCCTCCTCACGCGCGTCGCGGCTTAATCCCACCAGCCCTCTGGGCGTTGGTGGTCTAGAGCGTTTCCTCTTCCACTTTCTTTCTTCCCTGTCGGGGAAGGGTTTATCACTGTTCCCTATGATTAAACACCCCGTCCCCCAGGCGACTGGTAGCCAACCCAGAACCATGAGGACCCCCCCCACCATCCCTTTAAAAAAAACCATACAAAACACATCCTGCCTCCAAATTCGGAGCATGCGCAGCCAACCCGCGGTGGCGGCGGCTGCGGCGGCTGCGGCGGCGGCGGCGGCTGCGGCGGCTGCGGCGGCGGCGGCGGCGGCGGTGGCGGCGGCGGCGGGGGTGGCGGCGGCGGCGGCGGCGGCGCGGCGGCGGTGGCGGCGGCGGCGGTGGCGGCAACGGCTGCGGCGGCAGCGGCTGCGGCGATTTGGCAGCGGGGGCGGCGGTGGCGGCGGCGGGCGGCGCGGCGGCGGCGGCGGAGACGGCGGCGGCGGCGGCAGCGCAGCGGCGGCGGCGGCGGGCAGCGGCGGCGGCGGATTGGCCCCCAGTAGCTGCCCATCCAAAGACGACTGCTGCATATGCTGAGGCTCGGGGCAAACTCGGGTGCTACGTATGTGTTGGGAGGGCGGGTGGGAGTGAGCGAGACGGCTTGCGGGCGGGGAGGGAGTCTTGACCCCTCCCCCGACCCCCTCCCCTGGACCTGGACGGGGCGCCTCGCGAGCGGTCAGGGCGTCCAAAATGGCCCAAGATGGCCCCAAGAGGGTGTCAGAGAACCCAAGATGAACTCCAAGATGGCTCAAGGTAGCGCAAGATGCCTCGAGATGGCTCCCAAAATGCTCCAATATGCCCCAACTGCTCCAAGACGGCTCTAAGATGCCAGAAGAGCTCCCCAAAGCTGCCCCCCCAAGGCCAACATTCTTCAACAACCTTGGGGAAATCAGTGTTTTTTGCTTTCCTGCCTTTTCGCTTCCGATGGCCATTCGAGGCCTTAAGATAACTCCGCGAAGGCCCAAGAGAGCCCTGGCAGGGCCCCAGCGGAGCCCCAAGACGGCCCCAAGAGCGCCCAAGAGCGCTCAAAGAGCGCCCCAACAACGCTCAAAAAGGCGAGTTGGGGGGCTCCCGAGGGGCGACGCTAATTAAGGGAGTCCCCTTCTTTGATCGATGTCCTCCAAGAAGCGCCCGGGAGGCCCCAAGAGGCCCCAATATGGCCCCAAGATGGCACCAAGAGGCCCCCAAGACGCCCCTAGGAGGCTCCCACAAGGACCCCAAGCGGCCCCAAGCGGCCCCCCCCCGAAACACCCAAGACGCCCAAGAGCCTTCCAGAACCGCCAAGAGACCCTCAAGACGTCCCAAGAGGCCACCAACAAGCGCCTGAGCGATATCTCAAGAAGTTCCTAGACGCATCCAAGAGACGTTTGGCCATTTTGCTTGCCCTCCTCCTTCTGCTCCTCCTTCCTCCTCCTTCTCTTCCTCCTCCTCCCTTTCCTCTTCTTCATCCTGGTCATCCTCCTTCTCCTCACTCCATTATCCATCCATCCAGCCTCTTCCTTCTCCCCCTCCCTCCTTCGCACGGTTGGGCAACCCCCATCTTTGCCCCCGCACTTCCATGATCACCTTAACTCGCCTGGACATCGTTTCTGGATGGGCTTGTGGGGATCTATTTTTTTTGTTGGTCGCGGGCGGACGCTGTCACGCAGCCGCGGAAGGGGAGGTCCGGGGCACGGTCCTGCCTAATTGGCTACGCGCGGGCCTCGAGCGAAGCGGCCGGGCCAGCACTCAGAAGCAGCTGCCGGCGGGCGGGGCTGCGGTTGATGGGAAGCTGGCTGAGCTGTCTGCTGAAGGCCAGGGTAGCAGGTGCAACATGCAACAAGGAGGCTGAAAGACGCCCGAGTGGAATTAAGTCCTGCACTGGTGGGGATACGCGAAGCGTCGAGAATTCGCAATTGTATGCCCTACGCTTGCGTGATCCGCCAACGCAATCGCTCTGCCTGGCCGCCGACGCAAACGTGTGTGTGTGTGTGCGTGTGTGTGTGTCTATGTGTGCGTGTGTCCGTGTGTGCGTGTGTGCGTGTGTGTGTGTGCGTGTGTGTGTGTGTGCGTGTGACGAAGGGGAGGGGGCTAATGGGGGGTGATGGAGAGCAGGGGGAGGGGGAGTTGTTCCTTGAGGCTTGTTTGGGAAGAGGAAGGAGAGAGGAGGAGGAGGAGAAGGCGAAGGAGGAGGAAAAGGAGGAGGAGGAGAAGGAGGAGGAAAAGGAGGACGAGGAGGAGGAGGATGAGGAAGAGAAAGAAGAGGAGGAGGAGGACGAGGAGGAGGAAGAGGAGGTCAGACGACGCAACACGGACGCATACCCCAACCTCGCCGAGCATGGCATGACAGCCGCGTACGTTACAGCCACAGCGACACCATAACATTTTGAAGTACAACAGGAGCAGACCAGCAAGGAGGCGACGGTCAAACTCAACGTGATGACTTTCAATGTGCGCAGCGGATCGAAGCCATCAGCCAATATCTGAAGCACAGTGACATTCATCTCATCGAGATGCAGAAGACCAGGCTGCCGAAAGGCACGACGAGCATGCACGGCTTCCACGTCATCTCCAGCGGGCACGACAACTACACTTTGGGTTGCTCGCTGCTTATCAACATGGGCTGGCCCCGTGCAGGGAACAATGACAGCAATAAGTACCTCCGCCCGACCACTTCAAGATCGTGTACCAGTCACAACGACTACTTGTTATCCGAATAGCACCAGGTCAGACACATGACAGTGGCAGTAGCTCACGCTGCCCATGGACGCTCGGGCCAGGACAAAGACATGCACACTCTGGACAGACCTAGCCACCATGGCCAACAAGTTCAGCATCGGCATGGTCCTGATTGACGCCGCCGCCACCGCAGGGGAACGCGCCGCGGATTCAATTGGGGACTACGGAGAGATACTCGACGATAGCGAGACAAGTGCCCGCTTCCACGAGTACCTGTCGGCATACCAACTCACTGCAACCAACGCAATAATGGGATGCAGAAGACCTACGACAACCGACATAATCAAAGAAACACAACGGAACGCCTTGATTACGTCATCATCCCGACCAACAACCTCGACGCCGCCACGGACATCGCAACTGCCAGGGGCACGGGGGCGGCCCCGGAGGACGAGGATCACCTGCCCATCATTCTGCGCCAGAGCTACGTGGCACCCTCCCTCACAAAGCGCGCATCGCCACGGTTGGACCAAAACAAGTTCGCAGATGCGACATACCAGAAGCGATCCTACTCCGTGGGATGCCGACAGCAACGGTCACGCTAACAACCTAGTCAGGAGCGTCATAGAGGCCGCGGACACACTGTGTAAGCCAGAACCAATCAGGGTTCGGAAGCCCTGTATCACCGAGGCCCTTTTCGCC